GAAAGAAAGAAAGAAAGAAAGAAAGAAAGAAAGAAAGAAAGAAAGAAAGTGCCTTTTAATAAAATTTGTTAGTCAAAAAGATCCAGCAGACTCCTCTTGGTTTTTTGATACCCAGCTCTGTTCCTCCTTCTCATTAAGGTCCTTTATCTAGAGATACACCTATTCTGAATAAATCATACTTTGATTTATTACTTTAAAAAATTAGGGTTGACGCTTAATATGTTGCTGGTTCATTACATTCTTTTGATTTCTAGATAGCTTATGTGGCCACTTTGATTAATATACCATAGCTGGGCACAATATGGTATATTACTGTTGTGACTCCAAATTTTATGATAATGTACTGTTTAGTGCATTTGACACAGCCAGAAACTACAGCTAACTGTAGTGCAAAACATACTAAAAATGAAACTGATCGACTCCTTTAAAGTTAGTGAGTATTGATCTATAGCTTTATTCCTGCTTTTTATTATTCAGCCTTATATTGTTTTAAGACTGTGTTGCTTTTCTGTTACTTTAGGATCCTTTTGAGCTTACTTTTAATCAGATTAATATAATGGAGTACAGTTTTCCCAGTCTGTACCTTGTTATGGTTTGGGTTTTTTAAAATGATCAATACTCTAAAAGCAAGCTTCAATAAAAGTAACATGTGAAATAGTTCTTTTGGATTTGGGAAACATGTAATGGTATTGCTAGTATTTACTAATAGTGTACTGTAGTGGTCTGAGGTGGCCTAAAACATGTTACTGTCTGAGGCCATTTCAGACCACTACAGTATTAGTAAAGACTAATGAGTAATTTATTTAACTAATTTATTTATTTATATAGAGAGCCAGTTTGGCGTAGTGCTTAAGGCATCAGACTAGAAACCAGGAAACTCTGAGTTCTAGTCCTGCCTAGGCACAAAGCCAGCTGGGTAATCTTAGGCCAGTCACTCTCTCTCAGCCCTAGGAAGGAGGCAATAGCAAACCACTTCAGAAATCTTGTCAAGAAAACTGCAGGGATTTGTCCAAGCAGTCTCTGAGAATCGGACATGATTGAACAGATTTTTAAAAAAATTAGTAATAGTCCTATCAGCAAATAGGACTCCACTGCCCCCCCCCCCCAATGCACACATCAAGGTGTATTATACCATATGCGTCTCAAATCATTTTTGGCATCTGAGGAACAAAATGTCCCTAGTGTTTCTAGACCTTCTTGAAAGTAAAATTACAGTACAGTATACTAAATATTGTAATAGTTGATATTTAAATATTTCCAGTATTTTAATTTAACATCTGGTCCCCTTTCATGATACCAAAGATATCTTTCCCTCGACCTACAGTAGAATCTTCCTTGGCTGTACTGAATGTTCTTTGACCCAATACATATTTCTCCTGCAATATTAAGTTCAGCTGAAACGAATGGCATTTCCTGCTAAGTATGTGCCTTAAGGATAACGGGTATAAACGTTGGAGGCTTTGTATCACATCTGCGTTCCTTACCCTTTCTGTGTCAAGTGGAAAGGGAGGAACTCAGGCCAACTCAGAGCACTTTAATTCAATCAATAGCCCAATTCAAGAAGCGCAACGCCAGTTGCTGGAGGACGTGACAGCAACAATGCAGCTGCCGCAGGAGTGACCGGCACGCCTCCTTCGAGACGGTCTGTCCCCTCGGTGGGAGGGAGGCGTTCCGGTTTTGGGGAAGCGGAGGGCGAGGGCGTGGCCATTTCGGCGTTACTCACTTCCTGGTTTCTCCTCCTTTTCCCTTCGCAGCGTGAATGGGGGAGCTGCGAAAGGAGAGGGTTAAGCCTTAGCCTCGTCTCTCAGCGAGGAGCCCAGGGTCGGGCGTCGAAGTGCTGGTTTCCCCGTCTGGCTGGCAGGCGAATGGAACGCTGTGCTGGGCGGTGGAAGGTCGAGCCAGGAGGCGCGGGCCGCTGGCAAAGCGGGGGCGGCATCAGCGGCAGTGGCAAGCGTGTTGCTTCATCTTCAGCCTGGGTAAGTTGAAGAGAGGAGGAGCCCGGCCAGCATGGAACGTTTCCACTCCGGGGGATTTTGAGCTCGCGCTGGGAAAAGCGGTAGGTGGGCATCAAGAGACAGTGCTGCGCTAGCTAGCGAAAGGCTGGCAGTCGTTGCCTTTTCTGCAGCAGAGGACATGCGACGGGGAGCCCTGCAGGTGGATATGCCCCGCGCGCCTGGGTGAGCGAGTGAGAGACGAATAGAAGAGTGAGTCAGGAGCCCACAGCTTGGACTCTGGTAGGGTGAGCGGTGTGGATTTGGCAAGGCGAATTCAGTGTCACCGAGAGGCTAGAGAGGGCCCGACTGTGCCTTTATAACACTAGTGGGAACCTAATCACGTTTGGCTGACCTGATGCAGCTCGTTTTCTTTAGGATTTGAATGCTTTGACTCCAAGGACTACTAAAGAGATGTGCTTCTGCTCTGCCAAATTGTAAGCACTTCCTTTTCCAGTGAGTGCAGCCAAACTGGAAGATTTGGGAATGAGTTGATGGTGCGGTCTTCACTGTAGATACAAAGATTCCTATAGTTGGCCTGCATTGAAGCCTCTTCTATTACATCTAGATGTCCATTTATTACAGGCAATTTCTTAGTTTCTGTTATTAAAGAGATATTCAAACCATGATTTGTGGGCCACTTGTTGTCTGCATTCCACTCCATTCAGGTCATTCAGAAGAATCAGTACTAGACTCAGCCTTTGGTCATGCTGAGGGAAGCAGCTGGTTGCCCTAGTTTTCAGGAGATCTGGGGTGGGGTGGGGAGTCTGGAAGTGTTGCTTTATAATGATGGGGCTAGCCCTCTGCAGTGGCCTCCCGTTGGAGGTCCGTTTGTCTCCAACATTATCTGCCTTCTGGAAACAGTTGAAAACAGCTTTTCGGGAGGTTTTTGGAGGGTCTGATGCCAGGTATTGTTTTGGGGGGGGGGGCGTTAATTGTATGTATAAGTTGTTCCTATGTATTATTGTGTCTGTTATCTTTATGAGCGGCCAAGAATCTTACGCGATTATGATGGGATGTAAATTTGATAATTTCATTATTCCTAGTGATGGAATTTGCTATTTTGATTAGTTTAGATTTTATTTTTATAATAATGTTATTAAACATTACAGCTAAAAAGATAAAAACTATTAGAAACTAAAATAAGAAAAGAGTAAAAAGACAAAATAGTTCAGACAAGAAAAAAATAGAAAGAGAAATAGAAAAGAAAGAAAATATAAGAATATAGTTAAGAAAAAAAGAAATATATAAAGAAATGACTTCCCCCTTCATCACAATATATAAATTTTTTTAGTAACTTATCACTTTCTCTTAAAATACAACAATCTCTTCTTCCCATATCTCAACTGTTATCTATAAACAAATCCTTAAAGCCTCCTTGTTCAGTCCAAATCAGCAAAAGTCCATTAAGGGATACCAGAGGTAACATATCTATTTTACCCTTGATCAAATAAACCAACTTTATATTCCTTCCTTTTACTTGTAACAATCTTTAAGCTCTTCAAATAATGTCCTAAAACTTGATTTCTTTTCATTTTTCTTTGTCCTTTCTTACAAAATCCTTCAAAGCTTGAACAAATCTCTTTTATAAGTCCAATATAGAAAAATTATCCAGATCACTCTTTTGGTTTGTTACTTGTATATCCCTTTTAATTATTAAGGCATCAGCTGGTTTCATTTGTATATCGAGTGTAGCATCTTTTTCCATATCATTCTTGTAGCCTGTCATTTTTAAATCCACTTTCAGATCAGTCTCAGTCTTGTCCGGTATAACTTGTTTCTCTTCCGTAATATCTTTTAAACACAGTGTATCTATAAAATGGCAGACACTTTAACTTCTGGGTCCATTGTTCACAAATATCCTTCAGTATGTCCAGTGTTAAAGTATTTTGCTCTGCTCTGTATTAGTAAGTCAAATTTAAATATTCTTCTCCTTTAATTGTAATCTTTAGTTCCTTCTGGCTTCCTTTAGTGTCCAACCTTCAAAGTCCCATCATATCATTTTTTTTAAAGAATTCAAAACAAAATCATTTTCTCACAGGAACGATTCTTATAATTAATTCCAAATTCTTATCTCAAATCCATCTGGATCCTTAGTCCAATTTGTAACTTTCCAAAATCAACATTCTAATCACCCTTTTGCTGTTTATTCCATAAAAAAAAAAATTTAAGTCCTTAAGCTTGTATTTAAAATTTATTTTGCTAAGTATTGAAAGAAATTCACCCAGTGCTGTAAAACTTGTGAATCCAAAGGTTCCTAATACAGACAGTCCCCTACTTACGAACAGGTTACATTCCAAGAAGCTGTTTGTAAGTCTGTTTTGTTCGTAAGTCCAACCAAGTAAAAAGTACTGTCAAAAGAAGACAGGAGACGGGGCAGTGGTGTGGGAGGAGGACCTCTGTCTTCTGCTGCCAATGTGAGAAGTGATAGCCCACAGACTGTGGAGAGCGCAGTAGGATGAGCTGGTGGGGCTGGGCATGCTCTGTTGCCAGGCAAGGCAGGAGAGGCAGCAGTGGCCCCCTGGGCAAAGAGGGCGGCTATGCAGAGGGCAAAATTGCTGGCCCTTCAGGAGGCCTTGCAGGAGGAAGGCTGAAGATTGCAGCCTCCCAAAGTGGACTGTAAATTCCAGTGCAAACCTCCAACCTCCCGGAAGGCAGGAGAATGCAGGAAAGGGTTAGTTTGCGGTGCACTGAAGACTAACCCTTTTCCTCCTTCTCCTGACTTCCGGGTCCATCTTGTTCATATCGGTGAAAGTTTGCAACTTGAAAGTTCGTAAGTAGCGGACTGTCTGTAGCTGAAAATTTCTGAAAGTGATTGGAAAAGGAAGTATGCGAACCCAGTATCCATAAAGGCGCCAACCATGGTTTGAGCAAAGATGGCTTTCCCTTGTCTTGCAGTTTCCTTGCGAGGAGCAACTGTCTGGAGCACTTGTGAGCAATTTCAAGTCTTCTCCTTGCCCAGACAGGAATTACAGAGCTGGTCTACTCGCCAGTTCTTCATTCTGCCTTGGTTGTCAGCTCCACTTTTAGTGGCGCTATCTTCAGTTTGCCATTTCTTCTCTGAATCAGTATAGATTTTAGACTGTAAAATCCACAATAAAGCATTGAAAGAGTCTACTAATTTTGCCCTTAAAATTTTACTTGTCAAGGGGACTCTTTTTGGCAGCTTCAGCTGGGGCTTGTGGTTTTTATACTGTGGTACTGATTTTGCTGATGCTGAAGGAGGAAATGTTACTAAATATAATTTGTGCACTTTAATTTTGCAAGCAAAACAAAAAGTGAATGCTGAGATCCCCTAGCAATTTTCAAGTAGGGTGAACATTTGAGGGGGGGTGCAATTCAATATGGGCATTGAATTTAACAGAAGATAAATCTACTTCAAAATCTTGGGAAAAGGCTATTTTGATGAACTTTAATCAGTGTGATGTAGTGTGTAGAGTGTCACAGCTTCTGTAACAACCATAAAGATGCCAAAATGACGATACACCCCCCCATGATGTAATCATACAAATGTTGTAATTACGTAGCATCAAGATTATATCATCAAACATATATTATCCTCTCCTCCAAATGGACACACATGGTAGAGTCAGATACTTAGCGTGGAAGATCTCTGAATGATGTTGGTGATTTGTTGTTTCACACTAATCCTACAGGTAGTTTTAGAATTAAGAAGTTGGAATCATATTAAGGTGCCCAGAGATTTTCAAACAACAGTACAATAAAAATAATCAAACACTGACCCTTTTTTTGGCACATGATACAGGTCCTATTCATATTCATCACTGTGTGACTACTGGTAGATAAACCACATCTATGCACAAAAGTTAATACAATGAGAGGGGGGAAATGCAATTTTAATATGGTAAGAGTGGGGGTATATCCTTATTACATAGTCTTGAATTTTACTGGAAAGTCTTGAGGGATCTTAACATGTGAAACTTATGCAGATGCTTTCATATGTTGGAGAGCTTGAGTAAATACTTGAGATATTAGGTTTTAGTTTCAGGTAGTTCTGATGGTAAATCTCTTTTTATTTCAAAATTGGATATTTGTTTTCTTATGGTCAGAATACCTTTTTTTGCATTTTGAGTCTCTCTTATTATCACCCTCATTTTTAGATGCTTGCCTTGTAAATACAAGTGGATCAGGTAGAAGATACTATAGTTCCTAGTTCTTAAATTAATGGTGTATGATATCGTTGAAAGTGCTTTAATAACTGAAGTAAGTTGTCCTGGTAAGCAGTATTTTTTATTATAGTTCATCTTCCTTTTTTAAAACTGGGGCAGCTTTAAAGTGGAATTTTTAAAAATACATGTTAGGTTAGCAGAGTGCTTTTTGAAAGAAATTTGAAAGAAATGTCCAACTTTAACACTTTAAGCTTTAAAGTACAAAAATGCTTTTCAGAAAGGAACGTAGAACAGTGCAAGCATTAATTTCAGTATTTTTCTGTACTTGTTCCATTGTTTGTCTATACAGGTAGTCTCAATTAGTGTGGTTAATGAATCCCACGAAATGGTCGCATTATTTGAATTTGCACTATCGAAGTCATATTTCTATGGAAAATAAGGTACCATTGGTCCAGCTCAATGGAAATAGGCAAAAATTTTAAACATAAAGTTTTATATGTTTATTAATGAAATATCATATAACAGTAAAAGAGGATAAAGCTATATCCAAAGCGTACCTGCTATCTCCTGTATTCTCCTGTTCTTCAAAATTTGCTTCTTTTTTTGAGCTTTCTTTGAATGGAACCTTCCTCTTCTCCATTTTGCATAAACAATGATTAGTGTCTAAAATTCCAATGGCAACTGCACGTGCGCTAGCCTCAATCACACATGTGCTAACCTCGCACTAACTGAATTTTGGCTTGCATTAAATACGACCTGGTATCAATTTACAAATCACACTAAATCAAATTTTGCACTTTTTGAACTCACACTAATCGCAACCTACCTGTACTGTATAAAAGGGAATAGCCTATT